ATGTGTTAAAACAGAGCCTGCGGGTCCCCTAGAGATTTACAGTTTTTAATTAAATAACTGAGCATCAGCACCAGTTATTATTATCATTCCACCTAAATTTTGATGGCTCAGTTGAGTTGTCTTTGTGGCGTTCCTGCAAACTGCAGGTTTTCTTTACATTTTTTCAACTATTAAACATGAAGCTGCCAACTACATGGCGTGGCAAGCTGTCCATTCATGTGGCTGTAGGTTACTGTTGTAGTCGCCAGGTATTTCCTGATGTCATAGATCAACTGTTTGGACGGTGTCCTTGGTGTGACGCGTCAGAGTCGCTTCCTGATGTGTTCTCTAATTGAGCTGCTGGATTTTTGTTGTTCAACTTAAAAAGGAACTTTTGGGAAGAGCTGGTGGGCGGGATTAGTGTGATGGCCATACAGGAAGGCTATTGCGAGGCAGCCCAACTGCAGTGCTGACATTTAACTGCTGCTTTTACTTCCCAGAGATTCATCTTCACTACAATCCTGAGATTTTTTGCTGAGACAAATCATCAGCAGCTGAATTATGATCAAAGTCTGTAAGAGAACCACAGACAGGAAGCTGACTCGCAGAAGAAAGGAATTATCATGATAGAGATAAGATAAATGATTTCTGTGACATCGCAAAACATGGAAGCTTTCATTTCAGCAGCCCACATTTGACTGACAGTTTCAATGATTCTCTTTTATGTTTGATAGTATTAAATTAAATGCAATGATCTCAGGAGTATCTCAGTAAACAAACGGCATTCAATGAAAACTTGATGAAGACTCACCACCTGCAGTTATCAGTGCTACTGATGGGGGGCGCTGTGCTCAGATGAAAGAATCTAAGATGAGCTAAACTATGTTAGCAACTAATCTGCATACTTGCGTTACATTAACGTCCCACTCAGTAAAATTAGGCTTTTGGTGAAGCTTTGACAGGTGGCTAGCTGTCTGCAATCAAAGAGGCCACGCCCCCAATAATGCAAACCGTTGTTTTCTAAAAACATTCTTCACCTGTACAGTTGTTGTGAAAAGAGAAATTATCTTTAGAGGCTAAACCAGTTTTTGTATCTGGTTGTAAACTTGTTAATTTTAACATAGAGATAGACTCACTGCTGCCTCTGCTGGACGGTAGATGAACTGCAGATTTATGGTATAAAAAAACAAAAAACTTTCCTTCAGCCCATGAAGCAGTTGATGTGATAAGTGTCTTTCATAGGTTTGTTTAGTGCAGGGGTCTCAAAGTGGCGGTGCCACTTTGTATTGTTGAATACGAACAAAATGATAGCAGAAGTGCTGCCGTGTGTGGCCAGAAAGAGAGGACCAATGTGCTTATTTGGTAGTTAAATGAAAGGCTTCAGTTAGTTAAGAGTGAAGAAAAAAATTGTCTTGTTATACAATATTTGAAATAAAAAAAACAAACAAAACATTTTCTGAAATATTTGTGGATTTGTGTTTTCTTGTTTGGTTTTTTGTATTACTTGAACACTAAAGTGGCTCTCCAGTGAGATGACAGTGCCTGGATTGGCCCACGGCTCATTTAAGAGAGCCCTGGTTTAGTGGAATATCGATAAAACATCCAGGTGAGAGGCTCCGAACCAGCTGAGGGTGTTTCCTCAGAGTGTCTGCAGTGTGTTGGCAGCCCTTCAGCCTCTAACACACTCAGTCTGATTTATCTGTCGTTCTGGACCACATTTGGACCATTAGTGTAATTCCAGCAGCCGGAGCCAAGCAGACGATC